AGCGTCTGAAAATAGTTTTTTAAATACCAGCCTATTGACCTTCCTTCTGCATAACGTAAGTGACAATACAGGTTTAGATTATATTTTTATTTTCTTAATTAAACGGGGATACGTTATTTCTACCCGTAAAACAACACGTTTCTGTTAATGAAATCAATAATTTCTTTTCTCTTTTGTATTTACATGGATGATTATCATATGTAGTGCAAAACAGTACAGGCTTCCAAACCTATAGATGACGCTTATATGACATTATGCGGTTGCGAGTGCCGTAAAAAAACTCTACTAAAACTACACTAAAACCCTCTAGCTTAACATGATATTATACAGTAATAGCCTAAGTTCACCCTAAAATGTAAGAATATAAAGTGGCATGTAGAACATAAGTATTGGCAAGCTCCTAGAAGCAAGACGTGCTATCTTCTGAATCTGAAGTCATGTTGAAGTATGCGAATTGTTTAACCACAAAGTAGCCTTGTTTGTTCTTAAAGTCTCTTTAACAAATTCTTCCATTTCCTTCCAGACAGGAGGCTGTAAAACCTGTCGGTTTATGTTCCCATCATGCCCCGCGATGGGAAGCAGCCCAGGAAAGCCCGCGAAGAAGAAAAGAAAAATCAGGGGAGGAGAAATCTCTCTCGGCATTTTTGTCACCTGGCCAAATGGAAGTGCGCGCGCAGGTAAATTGTTGGAACCGAGACCGCGACTAGATCTAGGTGCCGTGGCGTGACGTGACGACTCAGCGAAACAGAACTATCGGACTCAGCAGAAATAGATAAATAAGTCTATAGATCTGTGCAGTTGTTTGTGTGTATGTTTGTTTGTGCAAGTGTGTGCATTTGTGTGTTTTTGTTTGTGTGTGAGTGTGTGTGTGTGTGTGTGTGTGTGTGTGTGTTTGTGCATGTGTGTGTTTGTGCTTGTGTGTGGTTATTTGTCTGAGTGTGTGTACGTGTGTATGTGTATGTGTGTGTGTGTATGTGTGTGTTTACGTGTGCATGTGTGTGTGTGGGTGTATGTGTGTGTGTGCTTTGTTATGAGGTTGTTTGTGTGAGTGTGTGTGTGTGTGTGTGTGTGTGTGTGTGTGTGTGTGTGTGTGTGTGTGTGTGTACGTGGTATGTGTGTACGTACATATTTACTAGAATGCAAGCAGATCTTGGATTGCGTAGATAGTCTGATATATTTGTACGCTTATTCTAAGTCATTATTTGTGAATCTCCTTGTCTGAGAATTTTCTAATAACTTTTCTACAAGAATATTCAACATTTTCAAATGATCTATACTCCCAAAGGCAATATAATCTACTCCTTGCGCTAACGTAACTGCTGACGCCAGCAAGCTATCCACTGTTGGAGGGAATTTTTTAAACTTTTCACTTCACAAAAACAAACACTTTTACAAACCCCACCTACTCCCCTCTCCACACTCCCCCTTCTCACTCTCTCTCCCTCTCTCTCTCTCTCTCTCTCTCTCTCTCTCTCTCTCTCTCTCTCTCTCTCTCTCTCTTACCCTCGCGCTCCAAAACCAGAGTAAATTACTCATGGCTATTTTATTATCTTTCCTTCATCACCCTGCGCCCACTACAAGACTTCTCTTTATTCTGCTTCACCTACCCATAGACAAGCTCCCACCCCCTCGCTCTCCCCTCGACATGTTTATGTTGCTGCCAGTCAGAGAAGCTACTGCTACTACTCATCCACCGTATCTTAAACCCCTCCCTAGCCCGGCCAACCCCACCCCAGCCCTGTCCAACCTAGCCCACCCCGAGCGAGGCTGTCTGAACATAACAGCTTGAACACGACTAAACTCTAAACACTCTGCAATCCATAGTGGGCGGTTGTAATTCTACACCAGAGGAATGTGGGCGACGTTATGAAACAGTCTTTGCAGAAAATTAATAAGTATATAAACAAAGGTTAGTGAAATCTGGTTTTGTTGGAGCAGAGGTTCTTCTTAAAAGGAATACATAATAACAAACTTAGATGATATCACTTCTGGGGAAGTAATACGTTTTACTTGTGGGATCGTATTTGTTTTCTGGAGAAAAATGATTTAGAATTTTGGTACTCGGCTGAAGTCTGGGTTTAGTCAATTGGATTAAATTCCGATGTTGTTTCTATGTCTTAACGTTATATTCTTGTTTTCCACCCCAGAGAAGCCTGACCCCTCATTCCCAGTGATGCCCTTTGAAACTGAGCAGTATCATCTTCTAACCTCCACAAATCTCAAGTAAACAGCAGTCTCTCAGAAACATTTGATTCGGTTCTGACATTCTGAAAAGATACAGCTGTTGTCCCATTTAAAGCACTTGCTTTAAAGTGCGAACCTGTCTTAAAGGGGAACACGCTTAGAGAAAGAAATCACGCGTGGTAGTGAAATTCTAGACCTGGTCATCTGAGGGATTTATCGCGAGCATGAATATTCAGTATCTCACTGCGCTCCCCCAAGCATCTCTGGCACTGCAGAGATAAGATAATCCTTGTCTGAAGTTTCTTTGGCCCCCCCTAAAAGGTGAGTCAGAAATGATGTTCACGGAGCGAGATGGTCGGGTGGATAGAGATAAAGAAACATGGGATGGAAAGGTGGGGTGGGGTGGGGTGGGAGGTCAAGGGTTGTTGTTTTCATCGTCGGTTAGACTAGGTCTTTCTAACCCTAGCGAGGTATCAGGAGAACCAGCGCTCTGTTATCATCTACCTGACGTGTGCATAAAGGTGCGAGTGGAATTTTTGGGCTGGGCTCTCTGGAGCCATGAATAGCTCTCACGGAAGCTGCTATCTCAATCTACCTCTCTCCCAGGTCTATCTTGACCGCATCTCTCTCTCTCTCTCTCTCTCTCTCTCTCTCTCTCTCTCTCTCTCTCTCTCTCTCTCTCTCTCTCTCTCTGTCTCTCTTTCCCCTTCCTCCGTACCCATTTTCCTCCTTCTCCCTCTCAACCACCCTCTCTCTCTCTTTCAGTTCTTTTTACAGTCTCTTTCCCAGTTCCTACCCTACCACTCCTCCCTCTTCTACAATAATGAGTGTGTTCTTATCTAGTTTCCAGGAAGGGGAGAAAATATATTATCTAGATTTTATTTCTACATCCCTTAGAGAAGCAAAGAAGTGTTGTTCTCATGTCCTGATTTTTATCTCGCCATAACCTGTTTACGGTCTAAATATCTTTTCCTAATTGACTTAGATATTTAAGTTAAATCATAATCTTTCATTTAAATTTGATTCAACAAAGTTGAGCTGTAAAGGAATAGAATCTTCCAGATTCAACGGTTTGGACTCTTCCCCTTTCTTTGTTCGAACACCCCCCCTCCCCTACTATCAGCCCCTCCCCACAACATCGACCCCAGTTCACAATTTACTACTTGTACTTTCTATAATATCTGCAGTTCTATAAGCCAATTTATACTCATAGAGATCACAATATAGCTGGTGAAGACTGTTTTGGGGGTTGGGGTGTCCAGCCTAGTTTTTCTACTGACAAGGTTACTCACAAACACATCTCTCCCAGCCCTTCCCCTGAAGCTAAGACCTCTCATAAAAGATAAGAAGACTACGTCTATATTATACATTTTACTATTTCAAGAACGAAACCACTTGAGCAGTAAACAAACATTGTCTGATCTGAAGGAATTACGCCCCTATAGCTCTAACACAACGCAGTCGTTATCCAATACATGAAGGCCAGGCGACAGAAACAGGACACTGGTCATTACTCCGGCACAGCGTATGACGTCACCACCATCGTCATCGTCATCATCGATGGTCAAGATAAAGTCCAGAGAATCCAAAGCGAAGCACAAACGTCCAAGAGAGGTAAGTCCATGAGCAGCGTATCCAGCGAAGGCGAAACACGAAGCATAACAAAGCACCACATTGAAGAACTCACGCACAAGGCTAGAGTGCAGGCGTTAGTAGTAGCGGATCATATCCACCGGCAGGAAAGGAGAACAAGCCATAGAGAGCATCATAGTATATTATTATTATTATCATCATCACACGAAGTTATCTCAAAAATTGCATCTAGCTGGCTGGCATTGCAAACCTCACAGAGCCAGGCTGTTATTTAAAAGAGCTTCCATTTTAATGAGATGTTGTTGTGGTAATATTGCTGCTTTAGCAAAGAGCGAAGCGCATGATTAGATGTAGGCCACCTTCGGTCTAGGGACAGCTGTGACGTCACAGGTGTCCACTAGACGCCACATTTGCAGGAAATGTAAAGCTTGTTGGTTGGCGCAGAGAGATAGAGACAATGTAAGCTGAGCTAAGACAAACAGCGAGTCCTTAGCGAAAGCATTGGAAACTTAGTATGTGTTGTCTTCTAGAATATATAAGAAAAAACAGTAGCATATCATAGCTAAAGCATTCGAAACTTAGTACACGTCTGACTTAGCACAGGCACAGACATATAGATCAATGCAACAATAATGACGGAGCTTTTCAATGAAATGTTTTTATCTTCAGCGAGTCTGTTATTTCATATCGAAAGTCTGTTCCAAAATGTGTTTTCAGGTTTTCGAACTTTGAAGCCGAAGAAGTAAAACGTTTCATAACAGCTCAATGCATCTTCTACAGAGCTAGAAAATATTGATTACTTGAATCTTGCACTAATCTGTAATGTCTTCATATGGAAAGTTTTGCATGACTTTGGAAAGGATTCATTGCATATTAACAGAGCATGACATTTTACTGCATATTGAGAAGATGGTGTACAATTTCTTGATTTATAGCATTTTATGTTTAGGTTTACTTCTTGAAGATTGATTTTATTTTCCCTTTTGAATGTCATGCAAACATCTCCTTTGAGACAAGAGCTTTAAAAAAGCAGAAAAATGTTAACAGCGAAAACCATCAATATAGACAATACAACAGCAGCTCATTCGATGTACACTGAGAGAAATCGTTAAACGAGCAAGAAAGAAAGATAGAAATTTGACAAAACAGTCGAATGAAAGAAAGACCCTCTTTGGCAGAAACGAGCATGATTATTATAGTGCGAGGGTGGACACAACACTAACCTCCATTCTGTTCTGTGTGGTGGGGGAGGTGCCTCGGTAGACATTGTATGTTCTGGACACTTTTCTGACCACGGAAACATCTGAGTCGAAGTCCATGATGACGGCTGTAGAACCCTTGGGGCGTTCGCTGCTCAACAACAAAGGTTTGGGATGAAGATATCACTCTCGGTAGCTCACAGCACTGTGACTACAGAGGCCAACAGGGAATGGAGCGATCGGGCTAAATAGAAAGTCGAAAAGGAGTGGAGGACTGCTTGGGAGTCAGCCTCTTTTTGTTCTTCTACCGCTCGTGCGCGCGCGTGCGTGAGGGGAGTGAGTGAGCGGGTGAGAGCAGGGTTCGCGTGAGGGGACTGCAGGCGTCACACAGGTAAGACTGCTGGAACCTACACTACAAATTCCTTAAATACCCACTCTTTCTGTATATATACATGTTCTGTCTCGCACACACCTCTACGCATGCGCACAGGGGTAGTTCCGCGGGAAACACGCGCGCCGGTGTGAGTCAAAGATGGCAACACACTAACGGTCCGCCTCCTTCCCAGTTTCTCTCCTTTCCCCTCCCCTCTTTCCCCTCCCCCTCCTCTCTCTCTTTTTTCCAAATCTCCCTTCCCTCTTTCTTCTTAGTTCATACCTTGTCTCTAACCTCAAACACACTCACTCGTTAATCTTTATTTTTTTAACAGTGCCTCTCCCCGCTCTCAGCTCTTTGGGATTTTGTTTTTATCTCTTCAGTCTGTTTCTCCATGATTCTTCCACATTTCGGCACGTCCTGTTCCTACCTGTGTCTCTGCCAAGTTTCTCTCTCACTCTCCCCCCCCCCTCAACTCCTTGTTCCCCTCCTATACACATATCATCAGCCTTTGTGCGGATTCGATAACACATCAGTACGTGCAGTAACAAACAGACAAACGAACAGACCCACGGGCAAACAACAATGCACACAGATCAGCCTTTCTGGGTCGGTTACACGTCATTAAGGACTGCAACAAAATGACACACAGACATACTAATGCACAAACAAAAGTAAAAACAGATAAGAGTGAGTTTAGTTACGAGATGGGACCTTTGACTTTAAAGTCCATCTCTGATAAAACGGGGTCCAGTGGGCGGAGAGACTTAAAGACTTCCTGAAACAATCTAGTTCAGAACGCTCCTTTGGGGATTCGCACCAAGGACACCCACTTTGTAGTCCAGCATAATACCAACTGAGCTAACAGTGGGCCCTCTTTTGTATAACAATGGCTTTTAACTTCTCGACACAGAAAGATGAACAAGTCTGACCGGGGGATATAAAGTCGTTTTGCACCAAATTTTGCGTCACACTGGCGTCGACGCAGCGAGCAATGGGGCACTTCATAATTAATTTAGTAGAAATCGGTATCTTGCTGAAATAGACTACGGACGAACCTGTTTCAAGTAACCAAAGAAGCAGTTTTGAAATTGGCTTGCTTTGGAAGTCTTTAAAACTTCCCGTCCATTTGGCTCATTCCTATCTCAGATTGAGGTTAGATTCTCAGAGCCAGTCTTTTGTATGGTCTTGCAGCTTTGAAAAGGACGTTTGGAACCCATACGTAAACAAACAAAAAATAAACACTTGTCATTTTTTCATTGCCTTCACTCAAGAGGTGGCAATGAAATAGAGATAAAAGCTTTACGGCAATGCTTTGTACGCTCCCGAAGCAGAGCTGGTATCATACTGGACTATGGTACAGATAAGCATAGTTCTTATATTATTCGTATATATACGGAGACCTTATTTTACCCGAGTAGCTGAGCTGTTTCAAACTACCTTGGCGATTATGCTTGGTATTGTCGGGGATTGACATTAGTTAACTCAAACGTCGAACCTCTAAAAAGAAAAAAAACAACTTAACGGTATTGAACGGGGTCTTTTACCCATGCAATTACCATTTTATCAGTTTATGTAAGTGTAAACTCTTCATTAGCAAGACGCCAATCCCAGAGACAACGTTGCGCCCTAACTGTCGGACATTGGAGGCCGAATAGACTCCAGCCCTCTCATCGCCATCAAGTGTCAGATCTGCGACAGACGTCGACGATCACTGTTCTCCATTTATCTCTCTGCATGGAAGCTTAAAAAATTTTACTATCTTTCTTCATTTCCCATCTGTTTAGACTTTCTTAGTCGGTTGCTCTGGGTCTATCCCTGGCTCGTTTTCTATTAATATTACCAGTGAGATCTAGATATTTGAGACACTGTACCGACTCTTTAATTCAGCAGTAAGCAGCCATTAAAAAAGCAAGAACTCTGATTTTATGTTTATCTCCAACAGTACAGGGGGATGTGATGAAAACTCCCACCAAAACCAAAATCAAGAATGTCTCGAAAGGTATTCGAACAAAGGTGGCCAGCAATATAGCCCGGTATATTTTAACAGAACTAACAGAGTGCCCTTTCCTCTGCTTCCTCCGTCGCAAGGAATTCGAACCAAATTCATCATAGCCGAGCATATTATTTTCAGCAGAGCTCGTGAACTACCTTTTCTTCTATATTCCCCACCTCTATAGAGGGATTTCAGTATAAATAACTTACAGTTCTTATTGAATGTAGAAGAAATCGTCGTTTTCTCTTACTTAGCTATGATTCCTCCTCCTCCTCCTCCTCCTCCTCCTCC